AAACGATAAAATAATCTTTAACGTAAATTTTCCGTGATCATGCACTGTCCCTAAGCACTGTCCGTAAACTTCCCGTTCAAAAAAGATACAATCCATATCTACAGTGTGATTTGTGAGAAAATTCACCGATTGGCTGAAATCAATATATACAGTCTTTAATATAACATATCATGTAATGTATTGAAAATCACCAAACATTACATAGCATGCAATACGAGCATTTACCAATATATATATGCTAATAATGATAATATAAAATAACATTTGAGATTCAAGTTTGTTGAAGGGTGGTGTAAAAGCAAGACTATAATAAACCTAATAAAGTTGATATACATCATCGAGCCTAAGTATATATTTTATAGCAAAAAAAAAAAAAAGAAGGAACTACCAACTAAAAACTGCATTAGTAACTCAAAAGCAACCGATATCTAGTTAGCTACTATTGTTCTTCGAACAAACTCAGGGCACCCGTCTTGAGGTAAACACCCCATTCTATGATCATATCCCATACAGTCGGGACTAATTCATCGAATTTCTCTTTGAGAAACATGGCCCAATATTGAGAGCTAAGTGCAAAGTGAATAGCATTATCTTTGATATGCTGTCCAGCTTTTACTGTCCATGATGTGATTATTTGAATGGATGGTGTCACCCTGTGCTTTAAATTATGAGCAACGATCGTAGCATAATCGGTCGCTCCTTTAATTATACTACTAGTGTAGTCATTCTCGTCTTCATTAGGTACTGGTACTTCAGGTTCTGGCTTCGGTACTTTATCTGGTGACCATTTTACTACTCTGACTGTTTCACTATCTTTTTCCCACACTTCTACGAAAACGTCTCCTTTAGCACCAGAGACATCGATATTAAATTCGTATTTTCCATTTTTAAAATCTACAGCCTCGTAGCGGCGTAATAATTGAGGATTATGTTTGACGATTACCTCAAACGATACCTCGTTGCCCCGTCTTGAGAATGTGTCAACGACAAATCGTGATTGGGATAATTGTAACACCTCAAAACGAGCTGACGTGTCATCGTAATTGATGTTATTTCCGCCAGACGGCAAGTTAGGGATATTATTGTCAAACGGCAATCGAGATGTTGCGCTTGACACAACATGTAAAGAGTCTCGGAGGTCAGACGACATGACCGACCATTCAGCATAACTCCAAACACCAAACACCACCAAATATATCGTATAAAGAATAGTCGACACAATAGTAAAAGTCCGAAGAATTTCCACGAACCACTCAAAAGTCTGAACCCTCTTTTTAACCATTTCATCATGCTGACGATCTTTTCGCATCTCCAACGACCGTTCGCGCAACAATTTCAGGTCCTCATAAAGCAGCGTTTCGTTCATTTTGGCGAATTCTTCGACCGTGAGAACTTTCTTTGTGTAATTTGTTTCAACCCAATTCGAGGGGAGTAGTTCGTTTTGTTCATTTCGATCTTGGATTAACCCGTCATCTTTCCATATAAAAATATCAATGTTGTTATCTTCAAAACATTTTGCAACTGAGCGCCGTTTTTCTTCACATTCATTCTTGAAAAAGATTCCGTATCCGTTAAAGTCTTTTTCTGACGCGATGACCGGGAATATGGTGACTTTTCCTTTTAACCTCTTCATGAATGGAATAACTTCGCGGGTGAGTTGAGTCACATCAGTTGGTATAAAGAAGATGCACAAATCAACTAAATCATCGTCATTTTCTTTTTTCTGAAATTGATTATGAAGATAGGAAAGCGCTTCTTCAAACGGTCGATTTGTGTAGTCAGCTTCGCTAATTGCCACTCCAGAGTCGGGATAGTACTCCGGATAGTAGTCCAAGTTGGGATCATTAAAGTTGCTAATTGGATCAATATTACTTTTTTTCTCCGGTTTTATTTCGTAGCTTTGTAAGTCACTGTTCGCTTCTTCCCAGAAAATATCGGACAGCCCTATCACAAACTTTAGGAATAATTTTTGTTTTAGTACTTCGGTTGGTGGTGAACCAACGTAAAGAATGCGAAAATTGGTGGGAAATGTGAATGGTTGTCTTTCGACGGTGCGAAGCTTCGCGACACGTTCACCCAAAGACACAGTATCTTCCTCATCTGGAAAACGTTCACTGGTTTCAGATGAAGTTGATGAATGTTCCCCATCCGATAATTCGGTTTCTGAATTTATAGTAAACAAAAAAAGGAGGTAAATTTCACCTCTCCCAAAAATTAAGCATAGAGATGATTTTAAATACCAGGCACATTTCCATTTGTCTGTATCTCAGGATCACCAGCGACATATACAAAAGAACCTTCAAGTGCACTGTTTACTTGTCCATCTATCGGAGACGATGACGGTGATAGAGAGTTCAATGATGGTGGTGACTGGTCTTCTGCCATCGTTTGCGACAATTGGAAGATACAGTCGCGTGGTCTTTAAATAGTTGCTTTGAAGTAGTAGGAGTTTGGAAAAAACACTAGGCGTGTTGCAGGCAGCAGCTGAAGGATAAAAGAAAGCCCTTTTTTTTGAAACAGAAGCGGGGAGGAGAAAAGTTGCCAATAGAGAGAGAGAAAGAAAAGGAACGTCTCAGCACTGACGAATTTAAGGAACATGTGCTTTTCTTTTGTATTGGCAAAAAAATTGATTAGTTGCTCATTATTATATTTTTTTTTACTTTGTTATTATTGTTATTTAATCAAAAATCAGAAAAAGAGCGCCAATTATCTTCTTAATAAATTCTTTGCCATTATTTTTGTCCCGAGAATTAGAGAACATTGAGAGCAAGAGAGAAGCACACGCACAAGAAATAATAAGAAGTACTAATTAATAGTACTGGCTCGCCACTCACGTTCACCCGGGAAAGAGCAAATTCTTTGACTTGCTTCAACCCACAGAAGTAATGCAAAATTTCTTCAAAATGTCGAAATAACAAAAAATAATAATTATTATTATTACTTATTAAATATCACACACGCAATGCAACTCCCACGTATATACACAAAATCAGAACGAGGCAGTATACAAAGAAACAAGCTTGCGAATTGTCAGCATTACATACAATATATGGGAGATAGTAGTAAGTAGTAGGACCAACCAAACCAACACCGAGTCTGGTAAAAAAAAGTTATTTGAGGGCAGACGCTATCTATTTATAGGTTTAATTTTTTGTTTGTTATATGGTAGGTGAGATAAAAACTGCGGGTTCTGTGTGTAGTGGCCGAAACATTGGCAGTGCAGAACTTTGATATTTATAGACTAGTTCTTGTGTTCGATCAACTTCTTCATCAACCAATCATTTTCTCACGTAGTATTTACCGTATAATATACCGAAAAAGGGCAAAATTTACTGTTACATCTCTTTATTTAAACATAGTCATTTGTGTCATTTGTGTCATTTCTATCATTTGTATGTGTATTCTTAACAGCTTGTGCTGCATTGACTCATTTAATCAACCTGATTTAAAAGTTTTGGTCGGCGATTTTCAATTTCTTTATCGAAAATAAAATTTCAGACAAAATAAAAAAGGACACGAATAGCCATAATATTCCCAAAAGAAAAAATGTCGGAGAAAAAAAGAACACGAATAACCATTAATACTCCCAAAAAATCCAAAAGACAGCGAATAACGGCAGAATCCGCAAAAGACTCGACGGACAAATCTGATACGAATTCTTCTGCTGCTGCTTCTGATACTATGAATGTGAATACAACTACAATTCATGTTCCAAAATGGAAAAAATTTCTAAGCATCAAAGACAATAATAGCAACAATAGTAACAACTCAAGTAGGTTATCTAGAAATGGGGATAATGATGATTTTACTGAGGTACCGGATATCGAATCGGAGATAGATAGTTCTTTGTCCCACGAGAATATCGTTAAGGAGAAATCATTAACAAAGAACAAGAAGAAAAAGACGGATTCTGAAACAGTCGGTGATAATGGAAACAATCTTCGTGATGATGATATTTTGAAGGAAAAGAAGAGACAAAAAAGGAATCACAAAGATGATAATTCGTCTGATAACTATGAGAAAGAAAAATCGAAAAATATAAAGAAAAAGGAGGAACATGAAGATGACGCAAATGCTCCAAAAAGTACCAAAAAAAGCGACACATTATCCGCGGATCTGATAACACCCGAACTGAAGATTCCGGAAAATGCGAGTGATTCGTCAAACGCAGGTACTACCGCTACTAATCATCATCGTTATTAGACAGAAAATTTAATTGATTGTCAATGCAATGCTAATCAATATATGCACACGTATACAAAAATAAGCGCTTCAATATTTGGCCACCTGGTATCTGCACCGTCAATCTTTATGGAAATTTCAGAAAGTACGGCAAGTTTGGCTACTTCAACACGTGTACGATGTAGATAATGTAATGTAAATTTTTTGTTTTAATTTAATCCGCGTGATGGGTTTTGATAGTAATTTCTTCCGAACTCTGGTCAAATAAATAAATAGGTTCCCAACGAATTTTTTAAAATTTTTCTCGAGTATATTAATGATTTGACTGGAAAAGCGCGTGAAAAAACGATGAAAGAAGCGCAAGAAATTCTAGACCAATTCGAGAAAAAGTCGATAGAATCATCTTCATCTCCTGATGATGTTGTTGTTGATACTGATGAAAAACAGAACAACTCTAACAATAATAGTGACACCACGACGACGAAGAATAATCTAAAAGATAAGGTACGTGAAAAAATTAAAGAAAAACGTGCAATGGATATTTTAAGAGTTTTATCTTGACAATATATAAAAAATGAATGTTTTCTTCTTGTTAGCAACAAAATCAATAAAAATTTGTATATGTATATAAAAGCGATAATAAAAGGCAATTTGAAAGAAATCACAATATACAGAACTCGTTATTTTCCTTTAGTAGATTTGTGTATAATAGATAAGGTAATAATACCGAAAAATAGATACGAAAGATTTTTTTCTCATTGCTAATACAACGATAACACAAATTTAATATATTAAAAAATTTTATGGTGGTGGACGTGAAATTTGTAAAAGGAAAATGATGTAGGTACCAATCAAAGAGGAACGGTAACTCAAGCGAACAAACACTAATACTTATTTGTAATGCATTGTCCACGGTTTAGTGCCTCGTTCACTTGCTCGTTGTCGTTCCAATTCTTCTATGTCGTTTTCCATTTCAATTACACCCGCAGTCAATATTTTCACTGTATCCAACCAAAGATAATTTCCACGTTCTAATTGATCTCTCACTCGTTTCGAGAAATGTTCCATCTTTGCAGCGTATTCAACAAACTCATCATGATCAAATTTAATTTGTTTTTGCTGATTCTCTGACGAATCCGATTTAACACCACCCGAATTACCATTAGCATTACTGGCCGTTAATTGTTGTTGGGGTGTTGATGTTGCTGTTGTGGTTGCTGCCGTTGATGCTGTCGATATACTAACAGGAACCATCGGAACATCAGTAGATATCGGATTTATACTGACGATATTTCCCGTGTAATTATTCATTGCTGCGGTCATAATCGTGTAGTCACCGGGAAGGGTTGGTGCAAGACCAGCATTATATTGAGCAAGTAATGTAGGATTCTTCATCGCGGCTACACGCTCCCAATATGTATGAATTTGTTTAGGAGTGTAATTCTTTAAAACGCCTTTCGTGCGAAGGTACGACCGAAGTTGAATCGGTGGCAAATTAAGATTTTCTTCAATCTCTTTTCGACATTCGTCACTGATTTCAGTGGTGATTACTGGCCGACTATGAAGCAGACCATGATGAATTTCCAACATTGCCTCGCCAGCTGGTATATCGATTTTCATTTGCATCTTTCCTTGGCATGGAAAACGCTCCATTCGCTTTCTATTTGATCCTTCTTTGTACTCTTTCATGGCTACCATCGACTGACTGCAGACATAGTAGAATTTGGCTACGTCTTTATGACGCATTGAAGTATTCATACAATTGTAACTGTTTCGACATTATGTATCCATATATAAGGGTAAAAGGCACGGAATAGAGACCAATTTAAGTGAAATAAAACAGCAGAAAAAAACCATTACTGCAACTGCAATACTACTTACGTCCAATTGAATTCGTCAGCCCGTTCGATTTCCTCCACTATCCATCGAGCAACTTCTTTAGGGTTCTCAGTCCCGGTGATCACACCAGTCAAGTTCAACGAGACCCTCAAATTAAAAGCAAGAGTCTGCGAACCGTCCTGATTGTAGGGAGCTGGAGTAGAAGACAGTTCGCGAAGCTCGCTCGCTACCAAATCCGACAATTCCATCAAAGCGACAGAACGTAAAGCGACACGTGGTGTCTCTTCCTCAGTAGTAGGGGCGACTGAACTTTCTTCCTCTCTCTTTCTCTTGGTTTTGGCTTTCTTGGCTGCACGTTGCTCAATACACGTTTGACATGTCTTCCATTTTTTGTTCTTGTGGAAGAAGGCTTCGTCGTTCTTGGTCTGGTGGCAGGATGTGCAAACTGGCATTATTGCGTGTGTTGTATTACTAATGCAGAACTTTTCTGTAAGAAACCGATTAGGTTAATACTACCAATAGCGATAAATGTAACAAAAGTCAAATTTCTTCTTGGCTGTTTAACAAAGTAACAAAGCAAAAGAATGATGATATGCGTGGAAAAGTTGTTGGGAGTTTTTGTTGGTAGTTTTTGTTGGTGATGATTATTTAGGTTGGCTTTTGCCTATCAGGGAAGGTTACGCCATTGATGATGGTTACGCAAAACGAAAAAATGCAAATTGATTAATACCCGGTGACTTTCTGTTTATTAGTTTTCCGAAACACATATACACGCATATACACATTCTTAATTTTTTTCGTTATTGTAGATGTTGTGCTAACATATCATTTAGAATGTTAAAAGAACCGTGATTCTAGATTCTTTTTGGTACAACAAAACATTATTTCCTAGTTATTTATTATACATAGAGAGAGTACATATATATCGATATATACGTGTGTGCCTGCAAACCGCTCGATCTGGTAAACGTTTCCGGAGTGAATTAGAATTTTATTATCACACTACTTAAAGGTAGAAGACCTGGAGGAGAAATTCCGACAAATAGCTGTCCCAATTATCGTCGTGATTGATCTTCGTTTTATTCTCTCTGCATTGCACCTTTGACACCAATAAAACGGGCTGATTATTGAATTTCTTTACGCTAAATAAGTAAAATGTAGAAATCGATGTTAGAGCCATTGCTGCTAATATTGGCAATTTTATTCCCTTTTCTTCGCATTTTGCAACGATATTAAAAATCTTCTCATACTAAACTTTATTGGTGGATCAATACAATATGGCAATTATCATATTGGCATGGTGATACATAGGACATCGACATATATACAGATTTGAAGTATTTACCAAAATCTTCAATGTAAAGAAATAAGATAGCCCAATTGTAAAGTAAATATAAAATTTTTTATTTGTTTTGATTAATTACAATTTCATATATAATTAAATCATTTTTAATTATATTTTTTATACACACATCTATAATCAAGCTAATGAAAAAACATAGTAAAAATTAAAATTTTCTCTTTATAATAAAATTTTTATTAGTAAATATTTTTTATAAAATTTTGGAGTCTTACATGCAATTTTTTGCTTTATAATGGCAATCGAAAATAATGCAATGTAAAAAAAAATGAAAAATGCAGTTTTTTTCTTTATATAAAAGTTTTTAATATTATTAATAAATATTTTTTTATTTTATCTCAAAATAAAGATAATATTACATATTTTTTCAAATTTTTTAGATTTAATCTGACAAAGTTGTTCTAATTACATATAAAGTATATGTTTTTATTATAAAAATTATTGATTTTATATGCAATTAGAACTTAATCAGATAAATCTAAAAAATCTGAAAAAATATGTTAAAATATGTAATATTATCTTTATTTTGAGATAAAAATAAAAATAATATTAAAAACTTTATATAAAGAAAAAACTTGCATTTTTCATATTTTATTAATAATTTTTTACATTGCATTATTTTTGATTGTTATTATATAAAAGTTTTTAATTTTATTATCAAAATGAAAATTATAAATTATATTTTAACATATAATAACTAATAAAATTATAGAATTATACATATAAAATATAATGAAAATTAAAATTTTTGTCTTATATAAAAGATATATTTTAACATATATTTTTTCTGGATTTTTTAGATTTAATCTGACAAAGTTGTTTTAATTATAAAGTTATTATAAAAATTTTTTATAATTAATTTTATATTTTAATTATAAAAAGTTTTGTAATAATTTTGCAATTAGAATAATTTTGTTAAATTAAATTTAAAAATCCAAAAATAAATATTAAAATATAACTTATTTTTATTTTTATATTGTTTTATTTTATTTTATTTTATTTTATTTTATTTTATTTTATTTTATTTTATTTTATTTTAGTTAAATTTTATTGGTTTATAAATATATTATTATAAGTGAACTTCTAAATGAATAATTTTATAATATAAATATTTAATCAATATTTGCATAATTATATTTTATATATAGAAAAAATGTGATTATAGAAGAATTTTTTTATTATATTTATATATAAATAGAAAAGCAAAATAGAGTAATTATAAAATGATGTAACTATAAATAAATATGATTATAAAGAGATTTAACTATATAAAATTATTATTATTAAATTAATTAATATATAAATTTATTAATAATAAACAAGAGATAGTTTATTAATTAATTAAATTTTTATATAATCAAATTTCTCTATAGTCATATCTATTTATAATCATATTTAGTGTTCCTATAAACTGAATCAAACTGGATTTTTACCTGAATTCGAATTCAGTTCAAAATTTGAACTGAACTCGAACCAAACTTTGATTTGAGTTCAAAAAAGGTTCAAAGTTCAAACTAAACTTGAACTAAACCAAACTTGAACTGAATCAGATTTTTTTTTCAGAACTTTAGTCACACCTCTCTATGATTACTTTATTTTACTTTCCTATTTATATATAAACATAGTAAAAAAAACTTCTTTATAGTCACATTCTCTCTATAGTCACCAAATTTTGCTTTCACAAGGATGATGACTATAGAGTGATTTGACTATATTAATATTGTTATAATATGAATATTCAGTTCTTATTTTATTAATTAATTCATATCATAAATTTAATTGGATAATATTTTATTATATATTCTATTGGTTAATTTCATATTTATATTTTAT